GCACAAATGAAATGATATACTCTTAAATGTAGCTTTGTATCGGGATTTAGTGGCTGAACCGATATATTTGATCATTATAAAACTGATTTATTGTAGATTACGTTTTAAAATGAAAGATAATGATTCACATAATCACATTTTCTACAGTGATACTCTTAATTAACGCATATTTGTTGAATAAACTTAATTACATAGCTTTTGTTTGATTTAAAAAAACTATTTTTAAAGAGGTTTCTAAAAATGGAAAGTATTCATATAAACATATTTGTCTTAGATAAGCCATACTATTTAATAATGTAACTCAGATGAGGATTGTCAACAAATATAGAATATATATTTTTAATCGGTCAACACATTATAAGATATTTTAACGTTTGTTGGTATTAAAAGAAACATAGATTTTGTGCTTTGTTCTAATATATGTGTGGGTATGATTGAGAACAAGTAAATCTATATAATAGTCTCCGATAAATAAAAAACAATAAACATTTTACGTATATTTTATATGTGATTTTCCATTTATTATGAATGAATGTTAAATTGTATTTAAACAAAAACAATACGTTTTTACATTCGTGTACATCATTTTTTGGTTACAAATAAATTATTAAAAAAATAACATTGTTCTTCAGATGCTCATGGTTAGAGAGGTCGTGAGGCAAACCTGCCATTCATGGATCTTCTATGGATATTTATAAGGTTCAATAAATGCAAACATATAAAATATTTTAGATAGGTTAAAAATTAGTCATATGAATAACAATGATGTTTGTTGGGTATCCATATATATATATATTACTGCTTAAAAGTAAAAAAGGTAAACCCAAACCGAAACATGTAGAGTCTTAGAGAGGTATATAAAAACGATTAACCGAATAACTGACTTTTGTTTTAGGAAACAACATAGAAGAAACCTATTGAACTTTACTTTTCCTTCTTTTCCTAAAGATGACTAGAGATTGACAAAACAAATGCGATTGCAACTTTTTAAAAAATTTCGATTAGTCTTGAAGTTAGGGATGATCTAGTGATTCTTTGTACACTGAATAAAATTGAGATGTATAAAGTGAAAAAGACAACAAATAAAAAAAATATACGCAATGGATGTGGATATATATATATACGGAATATGGTTGGGTTTTATAATTCAATAAACAAAAACAAAAATTTATCAAGAACATGTCAAACTAGCTAGTATAAACATAAAAGCAACATTTATTGTAACAAAGATTTTTGATTTGAATACAAATTTAAACATTCAATTCAGAAAAAAAAAACTAGCTAGTAAAACTTGTAAGTGACAAAATAACTAATACGTTTTGGATAAAAAATGGAACATACAATTTTTTTTTTGAAAATAAATGGAACATTTAATTTAGTCTTGTATTTTGGATGTTTGCAGCTCTCTCGCCATAATGAAGGAGTTCAGATTTAATTGATTTCAATTTGTTTTCCCTTCTGATTACCCCTACACCAATTTTCTCAACAACAAAAAAAAAAAAATCAGTTGACTTCATTATTCTATAAGATTTTTTTTAAATGTTAATTATTTTAAAAATGTCACTAAAATAATATCATGTATTCAAAATATTAATTATATTATTTGGATGAATTATTTAATGTTAGATTTAGTTTTTGGGATTTATGATATGGTAACGCGTATAAAAGACTGAACTAAGGATAATCAAAAACTACGAGAGGAAATCATAAAAATTTAATAATCCAAAACCGACCACATAAAATATTATAAATTGTCACAAAACGATCGTAATTCGAATACTTTAACCTCATTTTTCTCAGTCAATATACACGCCAAAACATGTGGAAACTCTCTCTTCTCTCTCAATGCTCACTATATGTCTATATATATGCTTACACATACTTTTGTCTCTCTTAACACTTCCACGAACTTCCTCTCTCTACTCTTCACTTTGATCTTCCATCTATGGCGGCCAAATCCTTGATCCAAAACCCAAATTTGAAACATGTTTCATTTCTGATTGACAAAAACAACACACTCTCTCTTCCACATGTTGCTTCTCTCCCCACTTCCAACATTAACACCTCCAAAAGACTCGTAATTTCTTCTTCTTCATCTGTACTAGCACCACAGATTCTAACTTCTCCGGTTGCTTCTCCTCCTATCTCTCGTGCTCCTGCACCGTGCTGCGGTGCAGAAGCGACCATACCGTTATCTCGAGTTTGGAGAGAGATACAAGGATGTAACAACTGGAAAGATCTCATAGAACCTTTAAACTCGCTTCTCCAACAAGAGATCACTCGATACGGCAACTTAGTATCAACTTGTTACAAAGCCTTTGATCTAAACCCTAATTCCAAACGTTACTTGAGTTGCAAGTATGGCAAGAAAACCCTACTTAAAGAAACCGGTATCGACCAACACGAAGACTACCAAGTCACCAAAAACATCTACGCCACGCCAGACATCAGCGTCAACATCAATCCGATGCAGAGAGAGGCGAACAGGAGCGCGCGTTGGGTAGGTTACGTTGCAGTTTCATCAGATGACTCGGTGAAACGTTTAGGGAGGAGAGACATCGTAGTGACGTTTCGTGGAACGGTAACTAACCCGGAATGGTTGGCAAATTTGATGAGCTCTTTAACTCCGGCTAGGTTGGATCCTCATAACCCGCGTCTCGATGTGAAGGTCGAATCCGGTTTCTTGAGTTTATACACATCCGATGAGAGTGAGAGCAAATTCGGACTAGAGAGCTGCAGACAACAGCTTCTTTCCGAGATCTCAAGATTGATTAATAAGCACAAAGGAGAAGAGATGAGTATAACACTCACTGGACACAGCATGGGAAGCTCACTAGCTCATCTTCTTGCATACGACATCGCAGAACTCGGTTTAAACCGGAGGAAAGGCGAGGGAGATATTCCCGTGACCGTATTCTCTTTCGCAGGTCCTAGGGTTGGTAACTTAGAGTTCAAGAAACGTTGCGAGGAGCTAGGAGTTAAGGTTTTGAGGATCACTAACGTCAATGATCCCATCACTAAACTTCCCGGTGTTTTATTCAACGAGAATTTTAGGGTTTTAGGTGGTGTTTGTGAGCTTCCATGGAGTTGTTCATGTTATGTTCATGTTGGGGTCGAACTCAAGCTAGATTTTTTCGATGTCCAAAACATTTTATGCGTTCACGATCTCGGGACTTATATTGATCTTCTTAACCATCGGAGGATAAGCTCGAGATCAGTCGATTCCGATGAAGATAAGGACAGTGACAACTTTGCCTTAGAGTTTTTAAAGGGATCACAACGAGTTATACATTGGACCAACGTCGTGGATCTACTTTGCTCTGTCTCTAGTCACATGGTGTATTGTAATATTTTTTAGGTCGATCCAACCCAAAATTTAGGTGAAG